TGGGAAGTCGTATTTTTGGACGTAATATTCTTTATAATACCAGCAGTCCAGCAATCAGACAAGACAAGTACTTTCAAAGAGTAGAACACAAGTTGTTTATTCGTGAACATAACATAGAAGAGCCCTTGAAACAATTACAATGAATGCTTAAATACCCTCGTGGGGATTCTGAATTCGAGCGGGAAAACTAGATACAAATATACAATACTGTGATTGGTCAATACAAATATTGTGGTGTTGCCTCTCACGTTCGCTCATAGCACAGTGTTCAAGGTCGTATCCCGTTTTGTTACATTGAAGCTTTAGGCGGTACAAACGATGTATATAACAGTATAATAATATAACACGATACACAATATCAGTAAAAATAGTAAACAATAATTCTATCCATATCTATTTCCGACAGACCCCTCATTCTCACTACATTCATTGGCAGTCTCCTCCATGTCATCAGCGATTTTATTTTGTGACATAGGTGTGCTGAAAAGGTATTGTGATTGATCAGTTAAACCACTTAAATCAATGGGGATTTCGGATAGTGCCGAGTAACGCGGAGATTCAACTGTGAACTCAAGTGAGGGAGATGATGGAAATGGGATTGACTCCGTAAGCTCGGGTTGTGGTTTTGGATTACACACTGTTACATTGACATAGACGTGGGGGAGGGGTTTGTGGGGTGAAGGGGGAGGGGGTGATGGTGATGCAATGGAAGAGGAAGGAGGGGTTCGTACCCTCTCTTCATCAATCGGACAATTTTCTTCAACAATTTCGATTTCATTTCCATCATTACGCTTTTTAGAACTTGGTTCACATTTAGTTTCGTCATTCAACTGGTTATTGTTTTGTTCTTCTCTATGAACTGGTGATTTAGATTTAACATGCCAATGGAAATCAAGCATTTTTTCGTTAACGCCGATTCTTTATAAATTGCCACGTGATATCAGCCACTAACTTTGAAGGCTTTGATACAAATTCTCATTCATGCACTGTCCGGTTGCAGACTCAAATACTGTAGCGGTTTTTTGTATGGTATTTTTAAACGCATATGTCTAGGTTACAGGCTTTCCAGTGGTAAGACTAATTTTGAGGAGTAAGACATACGATCAAGTCACTCCTAATCGAATTAGCCTCCAAAATACAGTGGTAAGACTACTGCAAAACATATTGAAAAAGCGACATGCAATTGTCGGTGAGGGCGTATTAACAAATAATTACGAGCTATTTGTTACGTAATCGAAATTACAGGCACATATACGAACATGTAAACATTCGAACGCACAACTTGGCAATTTCTTATGAATATTCATAGATCTAAGAATTGATTATCAGTGACAGACCATCCCATGAGGTCGGGTAAATCTAGCCAAAAATGAGGCTTGATATTCAGTTTTCGTCCTATCATATATTTATTTTAAATGTATCTGCTTACCTTACCCAACTAGCTTTATTTGACAGAGAAGTGTTATTTCTCACTGGATTACTATTCTCATTGTTTCCTATCCTATGTAGTATTACTACTTCTTCCTGTACGTTAAAACAGCTAAGGCCAGACTTTTATTATCCCTTGTTTCGCGAACCCGCCGATGAACAGGAACCGAAAATGAAATAAAAATATAACTTTATTTCAGCGTAATTTCTCGCGCCCGCCGACTTGTAAGCGCAAAAAAATGCTAAAAAATATTATTTTTATCTTCATTTTTCTACCGCCCGCCGCATAACAAATCCAAGTTGCATTTTCGTGGAGTATCATGATCAAAGTACCGAAGTCTTGGGCAGATGAGAAACAAGGTTATACATGGAATAAAATTTTATTTCATTTCTTCTCTCCGATCAATGATCTCACTTACAATTCTTTGAGAATCACACAAATCTAATGGAAAAAAAATAATTAATTTTATTTTTTTCCGCAACTCCTCAAAAAAATATGCCTTATAAAAACTCGCGAAACAAGGAATAAAAAAGTCTGGCCTAAGGTCCTCAAATGGTAACACACACAATGAGTATATAAATTGGGTGTCACAAACTTCACTAATGAGGTTTAAGCATTTCATTTTAATATCAGGGATACATCGCGTGCAGCCCCACACTGCCTTGTAATATGCACCGAGACGCCGCATCGCAGAAGTCAGCTCAGACGGAGTGCTGAAACAGTCTCTCCCTGAGGGTCCCACCTCAGTGATCAGCCGGTAAATATGCAGTACAGTGTTTTACTTACGCTAATGTATCAGCTGTTTCTAATAATTGAGTGTGCTTCCGTGGAATCTCATTTTGACGTATCACATTATTTTTTATATAATTGTGTAATTTTTAGAAGAGATCCAAATTTGTAATCATTCAGCGAAGTTGCTCAGTGATTGCATCACTTGTGTTCGTTTTACCCATTAAGTTCTTGTTGTGCTTATCAACACGCATGTGCACAGTATTGCGCCAGCTGTGTTGCTGTTTTATATGTCATAAGTTTCAAATTAAAGCGGGAGGGTCACCTGCGCACGCGTGGGAATTGAGTCCCAAGCGACGATAACAACACACGCTAAAAACGCAAAGGCTCGTGGGTAGACGCTTGTTTGTAAACAAAGTCAGGCTTTGGCCATCTAACGCATGCGTAGGCGACGACTCCCCCGCTTTAACTCAGATATATGATACACGTACACGAAAACCAACGGTGACGTCACTTGGCTTTGTTTATGTTTAAAGGGCGGTAGTCGTCGTGCTGAGTCCTGTTCGATATGGGACTCACAGCGACGTATACAACGCGTGTAAAATACATTGTTTATTTACATGAAATTCGAACACGCGCTGCGCGACAACCACCGCGCTTTAAACCCCACGTATCAGGAGGAAGCGGATCAATAAATCAGTGAAATATTTCTTTCCCTAGTGAAAAATGATGGGATCACAGTAAACGTCAAGAAACATTCTCTTTTTCATTACGTTTTACAAAACCTCTAACCTCTAACCTATGAATTGATGTTTTGATAGAGGAAAAAAAAGCAAAGCCATGGCGTAATTCAGAACGCCGGGGCGTGGGTGTAAAATCTCACAGGTCATAGTTACTACAGATCAAACTGTACGCTTGGTTTACGCGCGTGGCCAGTTTAATTAACATACTAGTATGATGCTTTCCTCAGATTGTATTAAGATTGGAGTAATTAGGTAAAACAGAGCAGACGTCATCATCCTGGGTAAATAATATTTACTATATATCGCGACATGGAAAGTACTCCGATAGTCCAGTGGCTCAAACCCAGAAGAAGGTTATCTTAATGTTTTGTTGCACCTCCCTAAGAAAAAAAAGTACACAACATTTAACGACATTTGCATCAAAAATATATGCTTTGTTGTGGAGCTGGGTTGATGGCAGACCTCGGGGTATGTGCTCATAAACTTCAACAGGAGACGAATTATTTTAATTGGCTGATAATAAAGTATCAACACCAAAACCATAGTTTTTGAGATATCGTTGCTCTTGTTTTGGGCGAGTTTTTAAATGTTTTTTTTTTTTATTACCAAAACAAGAAATTCATGTTACTTTTCCATACTATGCGCAACACTAACATGTCATACATCTAAAAAGATAATTTGAGTTAGAAATATATTATCGAACGAGATTTATAATGGGACGATTCTCCGATTATGAATAATGATATTAACACGGGTTATACTCCATATTATTATACATCTGTCACCGTAACGCCATAAGTTACATCGTGCAGACAGTACGCGGTCGCGTCGACCTCCGCTGCGCGTCGGTCGACACTCCCGCTGTACTGTCGTCGTGCATACTTTGCAGTATTCTCGTAATATCCTCATAGTGTTATTAGGTTATGTATAGCTCATCCTTAATTTGCTTATTTTCCTAAATAAATGATGAAATCATATTAATCGATATTCAGGGGTCTAATTTTCATGTTTCTCGAAAAACATGTGATATATCAAATAAAATGTATTTTAATGTAGAATTATATTCTGTGCTAATATCACAGATAGAAAAACACAATTTAAGGACGTCGTTATTTACTAGAATCTCGACCCAATCAGGCAGTTAACTACCGTTAGCGTCTTCGTACTACCTTACAAAATCAATATTCAATGAGAAGCATTTTGATTCATTAAAGCGCGGTGGTCGTCGCGCAGCGCGTGTTCGAATTTAATGTAAATAGCAATGTATTTTACACGCGTTGTATACGTCGCTAAGAGTCCCGTATCGAACAGGACGCGGCGCGACGACTGCCTCCCTTTAAGATTGGTTTTAAGATGCACACACTAATCTTGAGTTATTTCCTGTAACAGCCATCACGTCAATGAGTTCCGTCATTTCATTTAGTTTACCGTATATTGAATGACGACTCCATTTATAAACTACAAATCTGAAAAAAACGTGGTGCTTCTCTATATCACGTCATGTTTTTCGAGAAACATAACAATTGTACCCCTGAATATCAAGCGATTATATGGTCATTTATTTACATAAATATGCAAATTATGGGTACAATATCCACAATTTGTAAACGTTCTCATATTTTTTAACATTTGGAAAACATATGACAGACCTGAGAATACCCAAATCAAGAGAACGAATGAGCAACATTGCATAGTCTATTGGCCATTGTTTGTGCGAAAGCACAAATTAACCCTTGTTAATTGTAATACCCATTTTCCGAGAACCAATCGTCCGATTTCAAATCTGTTATCAGAAAAACATTCTGAATAAATTACGCTTATTTTGAGATACAACTTGTTGGTGTTGGTTATAGTGTGATTACATTATAAAAATTCTCTTTTCAGTAGTTCATGGAAAAAAATCAAATTTCATATCAAAAGCACAACAAAATCTTTATTTTTCTGGATTCTAAATTAAAATACCTTGCTTTTGATATATCACATGATGTTTTTTGGAGTTAGTTTGTTTTACTTGAATATATCAACCAATTAGACAATTACGTCATTTGTTGGAATTTAAAGGCTCATACCTCGAGGCGAGATTTTCTACCAACCTTGTTTCTCAATATGCATTTTTGGAACGGCAAATGTCACATCCATTAAATGTGGTGCACATTATTTTTTTTATCAGAGTATTTTTTTTTTCAAAATAAAATAGCTCATTTGACAAATTATTTAGGACACACAGTTTTAAGACTCGTGTCTGCGTGTTTCTAGAATGAAGCCTTGTATTTATAAAAAAAAAATAAGCGCATTCCAACAAGGCGCATTCTGCGCATGCATACAGAGCATTTCCATGTATGTCCTATTTTTACTGACTCAAAGTAAACTTATACTCAGTCAGGTATTTACATTCCAGCTTTATTTATCATTAAGTAGGGTGACGTATTTAGGTTCTAGTTTCACGGGTTGTTTCCGGTTAAATTGTGGCTGCGACGTTTCAATTTAAATATTCATTAATTAACCGTATTTTAATATATTTTTGGAATTAAATCTATTAGTTCAGTAGCTTACAGATGCTTTTTGAATCTATCATGGGTTTCATTTGAAATGCAAAAAGAGTTTGTTTTCTTTTGTAAGTATTTTATTCACTATTTTATTCTACCGTGACTATTTTACATTGTCTTCATATGATAAGTCGGTGGAATTGATGATAACGTTGGTCAGTAACATACATCCATGGCAGATTTGTTTATAGTATGAAATTGTATTTTTGGGTCACATGCCTTGAACTACAATAATGATCATTAAAAAATATTGTATTCACATAAGACAGGATACATTTATGTTTTTTACATTATAGGCCCGTCGTTAGTTATTCATATTTAGTTCCCCTAAACTCCAGTCCCCTCCCCCTAGTTTTTAAATGGCTAACCCCTTATACACCCGGCTGTTTCGACATGCCAAAGCTGTCATCCAGAGTACGAGTAGGGCGCCACTGAAATTATTGCCATTACGTTACTGGGGTCGCACTGAATACCTTGCTTGTCCACACCGAGCTGTTAACAGTTACTGATTGTCCGTGTTAATTACAGCGTAGCAAGAAAGTGTAGGTTAGTATAGTTGCACGATAACATCCACATTGTCATTATTGTCTTGTATTTCAAGATTGTATAGTCATCTTTTAACGCACTTTTCCTCTATATTCACTACATTAGGTCGCGCTGTTTAAATCATTAAGCTGTTCTGCCATGGAGTTTATCGACCCCCATTTCCACGTATGGGATACACTCGAAATCGCGAAAACCGGCCACTCAGCAAAATTACTCGGCGGCCCGGGTAAAGAGTTCCCGATATACTGTACGGAAGACTATAGAGTAGACTTCGAAAGTGTAGATGGTATGGTATGTAAGGGATGTGTGTACATCGAAGGGATTTCCAGCGTGCCTCTAGCTGAAGCTATGTGGGCCTCGGGGGAGTGTCTCAATCTGGTCGGTGAGACGTCCGTGTGCGATTTCCGAGTAGTGGCTCGGTGTGATCTCTCAGATCCTGATGCCAAGAAGCGTTTGAGGCGGCTTAAGTCTATATCGGGTGTAGTCGGAGTACGACAGATAATGAGCCATCACCCGTCGAATCCCACGCTTACCTGGCCACTGGTTGAACGAGCCGATTACATGCAAGATAAGGACTGGTTAATTGGCTACGCAGCGCTCGGAAAACTTGATTTGAGCTTTGAGTTGCAGGTAAATCAGCACCAGTTGGCCGATTTCGTCCAAGTTGCACAAAGATATCCTAACACGAATGTCGTTATTAATCACATGGGAATGTTGAACATGAACGAGTCAGATGCTTTGGATATTTGGAGAAAAGGTATGGCGGCCCTAGCCGAGTGTAAAAACGTCTCCGTAAAGATATCTTTTATAGATTTTGCCGTACCTCAGTGGTATAAAGATGAAAAGGCGAACGAAGAAGTACGTGGCTATATTAGAGAAGTGATAGTTATGTTTGGCAGTGACCGTTGTATGTTTGCGTCTAACTTCCCCGTGGACAAATACGGGGGTGTCACTATGGATCAACTCTACTCAAATTATCGAAAGTTCGTGGCCGACTTAGATGAAAAAAGCCAGTATGATCTCTTCTACGGAACAGCCGCCCGTTTTTATAAATTCGATACCGAATAATCAGATGTGCATAGCTGAAACCGGATCCATTGAACCAGACTAGATAAATGTATTGTTACATTGTTAGATATTTCTTATCACAATCACGGAGGCATGTGGTGTTTACAGTCTTCGATTGCTGGTCGATTTGAATCACCGTGGACCTTAGAAGGTCACTCTAAACTATGTTTGATTCTGGATATTAGATGCTTTGTTTTATTGCTCTAATTACCTGAACTAATTATGTACTTGTTGCTTAAACGATTACATATAAGAAAATTAATATTCTATGCGGGACGGTAAATGGTGATTACAAAGTTTGGTAAGAAACTTCGCTTAGCAAAATTGCAAGTCAGCAAAATGTTTTGCTCTCTCATAGTAAACAGTGAGTACGCGTTCTCATGAAACAGATTAAGGATTGGTCATTTGATCAATAAGGGGGGCAGTTATAACGCACACATGTGTCCAGAATATTATAGCTGTTCGCGCTTTTTCTATTTCAATATAATCTATTTTATAGAACACGTATATATCAGACATTGATTATTAATTTAAATCTTAAATATTTAAATAGCGGATAATTCTTCTACCCACCCCTCCATTTCAATGTATGTGCCCTTATCTGTTTCACAGGGGGACACTGTGCACATTTTTAACGAAGACAGGACATTCTTATCTGAAATAATGAGCACAATTTTGCTCATAAACGTCATATGAAGCCAACTTTTCATATGAACTCGTCACTCATGTCCCAGGTTTATGATCACCTATAATTTATCTGAAATGTTACATTGAGTTCGCCACCCAAGTCGCATTACACTATTTATTGTTACATTTCCTATAGCATGCGTAGCGTCGTTATATCGCTTGTCTGTCAGGCTTCAAAAGTGTGGTCAATCACGTGATACTAGTGTAACTTATACTGATCCACCGATATTTAATGCATCTGGACTTAATGAAGATAAATTCTCAGACAAGACGAGATCGCTGTCTACATTATAGCACGTCCGCATTATGAAATATAAGCAGTTGGTCTGAAAACTGTGCTATGCAAGCAGTAAAAAAAACATATGGACGTGTTTGGTTCTCTTGGCATGATTTTGTTATCGTTGGCCTATCAGAGTATTCCATCACGGATGAACTCGAGGGGTTAAAGTTACATATTAACCCAGTGATCCGATGTTTGTGGTAGTATATAATCACCATACAAGGGCAAAGCTGTAGTACTTTGCCCTATTTGGGGTATGTCAACTCGTTCCCTGATCCGTACAGTCGTCTCGGCGTGTATATAAGTATAACACCCCCAAGCATACGAGTGAGTGTATACACTGGCGGTGGAGGGTATACTACATCGATAAATAAAATAAAAAAGGCTGAGCTAGATAATTTTCTTGCGTTATCTGTTATCAATTCTGTTTTTACCTGACATCAAATGACTGACATTCGAAACAAATCAGAATCATTGCGAATCCTTTTTTGCCCCGTAATCCTAGCAAATTCAGGCCATACAATATTCTACATAATAGTTCAAATACTCAAATAAAGCTGGAATATGCTATATGAAAAAGGTGCGGTAAATAACGGCCAAAAACCATAATCTTACAGAACAAGGCAAAAAAGGACTAACAAGATTATGTTTATGGACAACGTGTGGGTCTATCTTCACTTATTTTGCCACTGTATAGCGCCCCTGTTGACGATTTGAAGAGATCTACAACACTGTACAACACAATATATGAAATATTGAATATTTAAGCCAAAAAAAAGAGTTCATTTTAAACATTATTCGTCCAACTTAATAACCTCAATGTTAGGGACTGGTCATTTTCTCCGGCAGGGGGAAGCCGAAGAAAAACAGGGGGACCAAGCTATTTTAAAATTGGATAAAAGGGGGCATGCCTTTTCCGCATTCCCTGGGAGGGGGGCTATCAATTTTATACATAGTTCAAACAGACACAATATTTACAGATTATTTTAAATTCGTTATTGCACGGTCCAGTTATACTATACTATGAATATTTACTTTAGATGTATAATTTTTGATATGTGTTGGTTCTTGGATATTTCAGTTTCGTTGTCCTGTACTTCGTTTAGTAATTCGGACTTCCCAGATTGCGTAAAAACATATAGTTCGTGATTTTGACACAGACAATGCATGGGCTAAATCATTTGCTGAGGGATGGTCGCTTAGATATGTGCGCTCTAACTTGCAGTATGTAGACCTAAATGCACTGAGTAATCAAAATTTACTTAGTACAAGTTTGAGGTCTTTAATTTCTGATAACATAAACACGGTTTTCACTATTCGCTTATTATGACACCCTTAAAAAAGCGAGTGATTCTAGTTTCTCTCAAGGGTAAACAATGGTTAATTCGCTCTTGTACTATGATCTGAAACAATTTTGTGTGCTTCACGTGGTCATTTGCATTAAATAGCGTTTTGGAGTTCATCACTGCCGTCCCAGGAATCTTACAAATATCAAATCAGTCGCTTTTTTAGTTTTTTTTCACCTTTCTCTTCATTTTCAATTATCCTTGCTATTTTCAACACCAGAGGGAATAAAACTGGTCGCAAAATACGCCCATCGAGAAGTGTCTTTGATGGAATATTTTATATTGCAATTTCTTTAAATTTTATTTTGTGGTATGGTACATTAGTAATAACTATCCTTCTGGAACATCAATACTCACAGTATGCTATTAAAGCAGTATACAAGAATGAACGATGCAAATCCCATTCTATAAATTGTTAAATGTTCCTTGGTCGAAGTAAGAAACTATATGATGGTTGTGATATGAGAGCATGGGTTTGATTTAGCTAGAACAACTGCACAAATCATAAGGACAAATTAACAGCTCCTAAGGATGGTATTTTCAGATTAACACCAGCTGTTAATGGCATTAATTCCCAACTCCGATGAAAGGACCAGTTACTGCGACAAAGCCCTACTCACTGCGAAAGTACTCACTTCGGAGCTACAAGTAATATAAATCAAAAGTTCTTGAGGATCACTGTATTTTCAGATGATGTGAAGGAGGGACACCTTTTTTTGTTTGAGGGGGGCAAAGTCTATTCATACTTTTGAGAAATCAGATTCCCCGGCACCCCAAGGCCAAAGAAAATGACCAGTCTATTAGCGTTTCGTTTATTTTTTGGAATTATTAATAGAACAAAAAACAAAAACATATTTTTGGTGTATATGGTATTCCACGATAGTAAATGACGGCAAAGCCTGTTCGGAACAGCGTATGCTATGTTATTTGAGACTCAACAAGGCCGTTGGAACCGTACCGGCCATACCGGCTATGGCCGGACCACTTCTGCTCATCCCAATTTGTTTCCAACACTAGTTAGTATAGGCTTCATGCATTTACATAACGGAGAAATGGCTCAGAATGGAGTGTCTTATTATAGTAATAAAACACATGTTTAATTTAACTGGTTTAGGTCTGTGCGATCTGGTTAATCTCCTTAATTTTTTTTATCTAAATAACCCGTTATATCATATAAACATATTGCATCCTGTCCGCCCACAAATCGTGTTGCATGGAGGCGGCCCCTATAAGGTCTCATGCCACTAATCAACCAATGGCTGCTCGTAGCCATTTAAGGTAGAGATGCAGTTCATCTGACAGGTATTTTAATTAGTTAATTAGGAAATCAGCTGAGATAATTGCTAATTTGCATAACCATTCACTCAGTAAGAAGTTTGCTAATGCTCATAATTAAAATGGCTGTAACAGTTCCAAATTTAAATGTATTATCGTTTTGTAAAAAGTTAAATATAGTGCCTAATATGGAGATCCCGTCATTACTTTTTTTCACCATGTTAATTTTTTATTATTTATGTACAGCCTTGCTAAATCTTGCTAAGCATTCAAATAAGAGAATGTTTGAACTTGTTATCTGTATTTTAAAATCGTCTTTTGAGTATGTTCCACTATTCAAAATTCTACAAAATTTTAACAGTCTATAGACAAGACTGTTTGGATAAAAAAAAAATCAAAAAAAAAAATTCACTCCCAAGTGCCCACGAACCCGCATCTCTACCTTAAATGTGCAAGAACCAATGATTTTTTTAAATATTTTTTTATCTCAGGTGCTCCCTGTTTGAGGGCGTGCTTACCTGTGTCAAAGGTGAGACCAACATGTGGTCTTTTGTTTACTACTTAGCGGCTGTGTACCTATGGGTTTATTCTGTGTGTATTTGGATGTTCTAATAGTGGTGTTTTCCCAGTGATTTCTCTAGGTGCAATCCAAATACAGTAGGCGTGTCTTGTTTACCGAGATTTGTAAGAGTTTGAGCTGGCCAACATGTTAGTTTTTTCATGTGGTTGATTACTGACATGTTGATTTCGCATTTTTGAGCCATGCTTTCAACTTTGTTCATCATTTTAATATAGCAATCTCGTCACATGTTAACATTGTCGTCTATGGAGATTCAATTAGTGGTATGAACGCTGAAATCTAATCGTGATTTGGCCGCTGATGGTTACCAGTACTTGCAACAGAGCTACAAACAAGTTTACTCAGACATAATCATGTTTTTCTTGTATGGATCTTATGCAAGTAGATCTAAAACTTTGGCTTATATTGAATATATCTGATTATGAATGTTTAAAGTGAAGCACCTACATCTTTGTGATCTTTGTAATTTGATCTACCAGTAGACCTGAAAAATGACTTTGCTAATAACAATAATTTTGTTTGTGTATTACTTTCATTGAAATTCTCCAACATGAGGTTATGTCAGCAGCTTCACCATTCTAATGTTAAAATTCCAAAATTTTCCGGGGCCATGCCCGGA